TCTAAGTCAATTCCTCATCAGTAGATACTTCAATATTCGTAACTTCTTGATCATGTCCTACTCTTCTCTATCAAAAGTAAAATTGGTTCAAAAGGTAGGGACTAGCTCACAATTCCTATACACACTTCCTTTGTCCAATTTTGAAATAAAATACCTATTCCCCGTAAATTGCTAAAAAATATATGTATTATCAAATACTTTTAATTAGTGTTTCAACAGTCCCGTCCCGTCCGGCGCGGTCCTTTTTTCTAAAATAAGACCAGACCGATGGACCGTTAAGTCAAATGAGACTGGACCGTGGGGCGTGGGCGGTCCCATCTAATTTTTTATTAAGCTACAAAAGTTTATTTAGCAGTAAATTTGTTTCAATATTTTTAATTATATCAAAATCATCTTTATTATATTATACAATACATGCCTAATATTACAAAAGAATATCAAAATACAAATTTATTGAATACAATTTATATCAATTTGATTTACATAATTAACTAGTTATATATATATACATTTCGATAGATATTTGATTATAAATAAATTATATATGAATAAATATTTTAATTATCTTCTGAAAAATCAAAAATTATTCCATTTTTAATCGATTCAAGTTTCATCAAAGATTTTACCATCTTCGGATTCATTCGATTTCGTTTTTTTGATTTTATCGCTAAATGATTCCCTAACCACCAATCTAGTATGTTAAAATTAATCGGATATAAAACATCAGATAAATAGCTTTGGTTTCATTATCATTTCTCTGCTGATGTCCCAGTTCCCATTAACCTATCCCTGGCTATTCTCTCCCTCAAGGATATTTTCTTAAATAATAATGATCAATATAAATATTTTTATATACTTTGTTTGACTTCATGCCACTTGATAAAGTGCTTTATAGTAAACTTTCATCTTCTTTAATCGGTCAGACCGGACCATAGGACCGTGTTGTGGGACCGGACCGTCCTATGTGACCCAAGAGCATAATGGGACAGGCTTGCGAACCAGACAGTCGGTCCTACCGGACTATTGCAAACACTACCTTTAATACCTATTCCTAATATAAGACCAGTTAATATCGTATTCATAATCCATATGTATTCCCTTATTATCAAATACCTTTAATGCCTATTCTTAATATATGACCAGTTAATCTTCCTATATCGTATTCATAATTCATATGTATACCCTAACATCAATGGTTCCTCATCAGTAAATATTTCAAGATTCGTAACTCCTAGATTATGCCTCACCTACCCTCTTTCACCAAAAATTAATTTGGCTCAAAATACTTGACACCATCTCACAACTCTTATGGTTTGACTAATTTTTAAATAAAAAAAACTATTCCTCATAAATTACTTCAAGTATTTGAGTCATCTGATATGCAGATAGATTTGGTTGAAGACAGAGATTCTGGTAGATTAAAATGCACTTTTTCTTTAGATATTTTTTTTTTGACTAAATAAAATATATAGATAAATTATATTTTGATGTGAGTATTATATCTTTAATATAAATCATTGATGCACAGATACCACCTTTTTGCCAATAATAATATCCCGATATCGATAACAAGCGATATTTATGTATGAAATTTAATGAATACAACACCCAAATAACTTTAACAAGTTGAAAATAAATTTCATTAACTTTTATCATGTAAGATATAATATTACAAATTGTAGGGATTAGATTGAATTCTATGAGACCAAAATTAAATATAACAAAAAAAATGGGAGGGGTTTATCTTCCCCCCCCCCTTCTTTCCGATCGGGCATGTGTTAAATGGATCCATTACATAAAGCTCTCAACATTTTAGGCAAAAAATAAGTTCATAGATATCAGAGAGGTTTGGACACCTAATAAGAACAAAAAGGACATATTTTTATTTTATTTATTATTATTATGGTATAAAAATAATAAAATGGTACAATATTTGAATATTTTTTGCAATAAAATATTATTATTTTTTATAGTGAAAAATTGCATCGATAAGTTATTCCATTAGAATAATTTGGTATCTGCAAGGTCGTAGTTATGGGAAGCCCCTTTCCCTCTAAAATTTTTTTTAGTCCCCCAAACCCGGCCACCCGAAAAAATATTTGGGCCCTAAATTAAAAAAAAATATTTAGTTATATAATTTTAATTCAATAATTAACAATTAAACCTAAATTAAAATACATAAATTTTTAGAAATAATAATATTTATTTAATTTATAGAAATTAAGAAACAAGTTGTGAAAACCTAACCATATTATTAGTTAAATTTTTTGTGAAGGAAATCCAAGGAAATTTAATAGGGATAATTAATTTTCAAGGTCTATCTGCTTAAAGCATTATTAATTGTATTTTAAAGCAACTTAATTAATTCATTGAATATAATAAGTCAAGCATATGATGGTGCAAACGTCATGTCTGGCCGAAATGAACGAGTACAAACTGCTTCAATATATAAATAAAAAAAAGTGCTTTATATACGCTATATCTAGTGATACAAAATTGCTCAATTTGAGCCGATATTTAAAAAACTAAATATTTGAGCCAGAAAAATATTGTCTGAGCCACAAAATTTCGCTCAATAGATGTCCATTTTTTGTGTCATCTATGAGCAAAATCTTTAGAATTGCGTGATATTTTTCTGGATAAAATACTGAATTCACCTTTTAAAAATCGGCTTAAATGAAACGATTTTGCAGTAGTACAAGTTGCATCTTGTGGTTCAAAATTGGTATGGTAATTGTTGTAATATGTAAATTACTTTGATAAAATAGAGAAAAAAAGAAGTAATATTCAAAAGAAGTAATATTCAAATCGACTGTTTAACAGAAAAACAAAACGATTTATTAGATTATTTAAGTAAAGACGATGCAAATGAATGGGAAAGAAAAGTATATATAATCGGGAATATTTTACTTTAAAAAGAGGATCATGATTTTACGAACTTAATTTTTAATTTTATTTTTTATTTTGATTATGTTTTCACTTTATATTTAAGTATTTAATAAAGATTTAGTATCATAATTAAGTTCTAACTTTTCTTTATTTAGCAACGGTTCTAATCTCCCAATCTTGAATTCTACAAACTTTGACAATAATATTGTTATCGTTTTTAATTTTTTTTCTATTTATCTAATGCATTGTGTAATTGTTATGAGGGTTTTAACGTATCCTGTAAAAATACAGGTCATATACTTAAGATTAGACCAGAAGTGAGCTACAGAAGTTAAAAAAAGATAATTTTATAAATCGTAAATATTATGTATAAAAAAATATATCATCTTGAAATTAAAGAATTGCTTAAATGCAACTCAGTTGCTCTCTTTATGTATTAATAACTTTTTGTGAGGCCTCAATTTCTATATTAAAGAGAGTTCCATCGAACACTAGAGAATCGTTGAAAGATCGAGGTAAACAAAATTTAGTTTTAATGGCTTATGGGGAAAAAATAACAGAGTCGTTTTTTATTTTAATTCATTTATGTTAGTAAATTTAATATAAATATAAGCAAAAAATTTATATGAATGCCTAACTATTTGTTTTATTTCAAAATAAAATATTGCCCCCCCCCCCCATTAGGTAAACAATTGTTCCTCCCCTACGATAAATTCCTGGCTACGGCCCTGGGTATCTGCAAAAAGATAAATACCGGCCAATACTAATATTCAAATATCTGTGCATCTCTGATATAAAATTTAATAAAATTTAAAGCAAAATTTAAGTTTTCGCAATTCGTAAATCAATTAATAAATTTACCTATAAGGTATGGGATTCTAATTTTTTTCCAAACTATGTTTTTCACTAAATATTAAAAATAAAAGGTATTTCTATTTATATAATAAACTATATATGTCATATTGGGATATGAAATTCATGGGTATTTTGAATCTTTTGATCTTAAATCATCTGCCAAAATTTTAAATATCTTAGTTGACCGGAGTAAATCTCAGTTTTACAGTGAGCTATAGAACTACTCATAATTAATTGTAAATTACAAAAAAGAAATAAACAAAAGTTTATGATTAAATTGTCACAAATTTATAGATAAGGTATTATTATAACAAATGTTTAAATAGAATTCCGGTCATATCACATTTTTAGCCCCTCAGTTAAATATTTTTAAATCAAGATATTCCAAATCTCCATGGATTCATATCCCTATATAAATAATATTTCACAGGTGTGAAACGATTGCAAAGTTTAGAAAGTTTGTTTACAAAAAACAACCACTTTTGATATAATGATTTTAACCTTTTATCCCCTTCTTTAGTTTTTTCTTCCATTTTGTAAAAGTAAACCCTTTTTTTGTTAATATAGGGCTAGGAGTTAACGAGAAATCTGGATAGCCTTTAAATAATAATGATAAATATAAATTAAATTATTGAAAGATATATATGAATTAATTTTTGAAATTCTTTCTATTTATATTTGGTAAAGATGTCGTCGTATATATGCTAAAAGGCGAGGTAAGGAGGTCTCTTCTCCTGGCCCTGGAAAATTGTAAATTGTTTAATATTAAGAATTTTTAAAAAATATAAAATTTTATAAGGATATTAGTAATTTTATTTAAAAATTTATTTTAATAACCTTTTAATATTTAGTTAATCCTAAATGAACCGTAATATATTTTTTCTTTGACAATTTTTTCCGTCTTACCTATATTGAAAATTTATTTTATTTCATGTACTTATGGTGATTAAACTATTTATGATTTCAAAATTAATTTTATTTTTAAGAAATTGCATTTGAAATAGTAAATTTCCCGGGTTTTATGTATTATTTATCAGGATAAGAAGGAAAGAAAAGCAATCGTCATCTTCATGATATACTAAACATTGATGTCATTTTACTTATATTGAATTGCTCAAATATATTTTATTTAGGATTAGACTACATAAATTAAATATAGGATTTCACTGTTATTCGTAATTTAATAAAAAAAATTAATCTTGGTGATATAGAGAGAAAACAAATTTTATTTTAACCAATTCTTCTACTATTTCTAGAATGCACGTCAACATCAGAACGTGTCTCTGGACGGCATGCGAGTTATGTCATGAAATTATACACTTATTAATTATGTAATGGCGGTTTGCTAAAATATAAACTTATTATGGAGAAGGTTAGAAAGTGTGGAAAATTTTTTTGGAATTTTTTTATTGTAGAATATATTTCGCAGTGTTCATTATTGAGTTGCCTTCAACTTTCTTTTAAAATCCAAGTAGATAATTTTATATATACAAAGTTAAAGAGACTATTCTATAGAAGTGAAAAATGATTTTGTAAATTAAGAAAAAAATATTTTTCATCAAAACTAATATGTTTTAAGGTAAATTATACATAGGAATTTTTTTTAAAAATAATGTAACGTGTAACCATAGATCTTAAGAAGAATATCTATATATAATAATTTATAACTCAAAAATTGAAATTCAGAGCCTACGAAATAAGGTGATACGATTCCATACATAACAGAGAGGAAAAGTAAAAAAGTGGTAGATTTATATTTGACTCAATTATAATATTAAATTTTAACAACAAATATTTTTTATTAAATTTATGTAAAATAAACCTAAAAGAAAGAAAGAAAGAAAGAAGAAAGAAAGAAAGAAAGAAAAGAAAAGAAAAGAAAAGAAAAGAAAAGAAAAGAAAAGAAAAGAAAAGAAAAGAAAAGAAAAGAAAAGAAAAGAAAAGAAAAGAAAGAAAAGAATGAAATTATATTTATATTTATATAATTTAATATAATTCAAAGCTCAGCATCAATTTAAAAATATCAAGAGAACTTTATATTTACACAGGATCTTGACAGAACAATAATTTTAATTTATATTTATTATTTAAAGACTATATCGATTTCTCAATTCCTCTTAGCCCTATCTTAACCAAAAAAGGGTATTCTTTTATGAAATGGAAGAAAAAACTGAGGAAAGCAATAAAAGGTTAAACTCATAATTGGACACTTAATATATCAAAAATTGTTGTTTTTTATAATCCAACTTTTAAAATATTTTTTATAAACTTTCCAATCATTTCACATCCTTATTATTTAAAGTGATATGAATCCATGGAGATTTGAAATATCTTGATTTTAATTCTTTTTCTCAGGGGCTATTTTCAAATTTTCAAATTCATATAAGGTGTGAAATGATAGGAAAGTTTAGAAAAATATTTTAAAATTTTGATTACAAAAAAACAACCGCTTTTTTATAAAAGGTGACAATTATGAGTTTAACCTTGTTTTCTTTAGCTTTTTCTTCACTTTCATAAAAGAATACTCTTCTTTGTTAAGATGGGGCTGGGAGGAATTGAAAAATCGAGATAGTCTTTAAATAATAGAAATAAATATAAATTAAAATTATTGAAAGATTTATATGAATTAATTTTTGAAATTCAATCTATTTATATTGGGTAAAGTTGTCGTCGTATGCATGTTGAAAGGAGAGGTAAAGAGGTGTCCTTCCCTGGCCCTGGAAAATTGTATTTAAAAATATAAAATTTTATAAGGATATTAGCATTATTATTTAAAAAATTATTTGAATAACCTTTAAATATTTAATGAATCGTAAATAACCGTAATATATTTTATTTTGACAATTTTTTCCCCTTTACATTTAACGAAAATTTATTTTATTTTATGTTCCTGATGAGATTAATTAATTTAATTTTTTAAAAATTACCTTTGAAACAATAAATTTACCAGGTTTTATGTTTTTATTTATTAGGGTAAGAAGGAGAGAAAAGCCATCCTCATCTTCCTGATATACTTAACATTGAATGTCGAGCTTAGACATGTATTGAATTGCACAAATAAATTTTCTTTAGGATTAGACTACATAAATTAATATAAGATTATAAGTGTTAATTGTAATTTAATAAAACATTTTGATAAAATATAAGAGAATAAACAAATTTATTTTAACCATTTCCCCTCCTATTTCTAGAAGCTGTCAACCTCAGAACGCGTCTCTCAGCGAGTTCTAGTTACATCCAGAAGTTTACTTATTAATTACGCAATTGCGGTTCTAAAATAAAATCTCATTATGGAAAAGGTTAGAAAGTGTGGAAAATTTTTTGGATGCTTTTTATTGAAGAATATATTTAACAGTGTTCATTATTGAGTTGCCAACAACTTTTTCTAACCAAGTAGATAATATTATGTATACAAAGTTAAAGAGCTAAAGTAGAAGTGAAAAATGATTTTGTTCAATATTTAAATTAAGGAAAATAATTTTCAACATAAATTACATAGGGATTTTAAAAAAATATAACCAAAGTAGATCTTAAATAGAATATTTGTATATAATTTGTAACTAAGAAAGATAGAAATTACATTCATACAATTTAATATAACTTAAGTTGAAATTCAAAGGCCTAATTAGAATGTAATTTCAAAAAATTGATAAATGATAAAATATATACTTTCATTGGGTTTTTCACGCTGGCACCTATGCTTTTTTTTCTGGTTATCAAATAAGGCTTTGAAATAATGATTGTACATAGAATATAAATTAATATATAGAAGAAGAAAAAAATTTTTGTGAAAATAATAGAGAAACCGGAAATAGTTCAGATTCAAATGTTCGATTATAATATAATTCAAAAAAATAAATAAATTCTAAAATATAATCTTTCACTGGGCTTTTCTCTATTTTTGTTTGTAAATTGAATTCCCTTGCTCCTCCAAGGCTTTTAAAATATTTATTGTTAAATTATATTTTGATGGTAAAATATTTTGAGCAACCCACACCACCCCCCCCCTCTCCAACAGCTTTCCCTTCCCTAAAAAAATATTCAAAATGATATGTAATAATCATAATTATAACACAATTATTGAATATATATATAGCTTACATGATTGATTAATTATCCACCTATAAAATATTGCTCAAAATATTTTAACCAGCAAATGTATATTATAAATATTTTTTTGCTTCTGTACAAAGCCTTGAACGAGGACAAAGAGAAGCTTATACAAAAGGCAAAGGGCCAGTTAAAGTATATTTTTTCGAATTTATTTATTTGAATTATATTTAAATCAGAATTTTGAATCTAAAAAACTATTTCCGGCTATTTTAAAAATGGTAGTGCTTCCGTTTCTTTTTAAAAGTTGTTCTTTAAACATATAATTTATAATTATTTTCATATTATTTCTTCCAAGATCTCTCTTCAAACATCCATCTTCTCCTAAATACCATCCAAGAAACATTTCAAATAAATTATTATCTATTTTAAAATCCTTTATTATTCTCTTTTTCTCTATTTTTTTAAAAAAAATTAATATGAGCGATATTTTATAGGTCGGGAGGGTGGGGTAGATGTTTTTTTTTGCTTTGTATGCTCTTATTCCTTATAGAATAAAGGCATATTAAACTTAGTTAAAATTAAATGAGTAAAAATAAATTATCACGAATATATAAATTTTTACTAGGAAATTTGGTCTTCAAATTTATACAGTTACACATCTCCTCATCTTTCATCTTTTCATACTGTTCTTTATTGTCCTCAGATTCCTCATATTGATTATCCATGTATTCCTCATATAGGTTATTCTCATAGTCCTGCTCCACATACCCTTCCTCCTGTTTCTCCTCCACTTCGCTATCATCATTTCCACTCTCCTCATCTCCACTCTCCTCATCTCCACTCTCCACATCTCCTCTCTCCACATCTCCACTCTCTACATCTCCACTCTCCTCATCTCCTTCGCCTTCAACGATCAAGGCTTTAAAAATATTATTTTTGATATAAATTAATAAATGAAAAAAATGTATATACTTGAAAAATATTAGTTGGTAAAATAATTTGATCTATATTTTATCAGTGGATATTTAATATAATATACCCACTACATATTCACATAAGGGTAAATCAGATCGCCTATCTATAATTAAGGTTTATAGATTATTACAAGTTTTAAATCTTCCTTTACAATATTATATTTTCCAATGGGAGAGGGGTCTGAGTGGGGGGGGGGGGGGTGGAGGTATAGATTCAATTATTTCTATTACTTAGTAAATTACCAATGCGATGTATAGAAGAGGATTGTAGTTTGACTATCTCGTTTACATTTATATGAATATATTTAGTGTGTACACTACACTTTATCCAATTTATAGCTCTTAAAACATTTTAGCAACAGATATTAAGTGTTTTTCAGTATGTCAATTTATATTCCATGTCAATGATCATTTCAAAGCCTTGATTTATACTGATGTGAACGAAGAGAAGCTTAGAAATAAAAACGGAAAAAAAGATAGCGCAGTATAAGTACATATATATTCGTTTAACCAGAATTTCAAGATGGTATTCCTATAAAATATACAAACTGTCTAAATTTAAAGAGGAAAGAAAATCGAACAACCATTGTACGGAAAAATACTTAATAGTTATTTGTTGGAAAAATATTTTAGGGATCTAAACAGGTAGAAGTAAATATGATATTGATATAAATGGAAATCAAAGCGTCCAATTAAAATCTTCAACTGCATACCACTCAATTACATATTCCAAATAAATTTATTACTATTTCTTTTTTAGGAAATTTTTAACAAATTATTTTTTCTTATAATCAATGATTGTTGTCAATTTATTTTCAAAGAAATTCATACTTAGTTTGGATATTTATAAAAATATCCATCTTAAAACTCTGAAATATATTCAATAAATTATAACGAATATATTATACTCTTACTACCTCTTTTGCCATTCTCATTTATAACACTCCTCTTATTCCTGATCAGCATAAACCAATGCAATAAAATGCATTATTATATACCTTAGAGTGTGGATTAAAATATTGGGAATATACTTTGATAAATTGTAATATTTTCATCAATGTTTTATAATTGGATAAATAATGCAAAGACACTCGTTATAGATTCATGTAAAGTTGAATCAAATCGACCATCTATAAATTAAATAGTTTAATAAATGGGGGTGGGTAAAATTTTATTTTGTTTTATAATAATCCTTATTCTTTGTTAGGAACAAATAAGTATATTTTATACTTAGTAAATTAAAATAAGTAAAAATTTAAAAATGGCTTTTTATTTCTGTTCTGTTGTTTCTGTAATTAGGCGCGGTTCTGAGTTCAGTTCCTTAAAATTTTAACACATTAATTCCAGCTTCCTAATCTTACGAGAGTACTAGATTGATTCTAGACCTCTTAATTATAATTAATAAGACCAATGTC